TCCTCCTCTTCTCCCCTCCCCTCATCCCCATCAACGTCCCCCCTCCTCCACCTCCTCCTCCCCCCCTCCCTCCTCGAGGTCTTCCTATGAAGAGTTGGAGACGGGCAGTACATACACGCTGAATTTTGATACTGATACGTGGACCACCCACTATATTCAAGAGGCTTTCGCCATTCCGCCGACCTCCAGAACAGTGAATTTGGAAAGAGTCGTGCCACCGTGTTTGGCCTGTGGGTCAGGAGCCTCGGGGATGCATATGAAGGTCTCCTGGAGTGCCTTTCAGGGGCCTCTTGGATGGCTCTTGGGGGCATCAGATTGGCCTCTCGGGGGCTTCTCGGGGGCCTTTCAGGGGCCACTTGGGAGCCTCTCGGGAGCCTTTTGAGGGCGCCTCGGGGGTCACTGGGGCTCTTGGGGCCATCACGGTGGGAAAGAGTCGAGGTGTCAGTTCGTATTACGCCTCTTAGGCCCTTTTTGGGGCCCTCCTGGGGCGTCTTAGGGGCCTCTGGGGCCGTCTTGGGTCCCCCCGGAGCCTTCTTGTGCTGTCTCGGGGCCCTCTTGGAGGCTTTGTGGGCCGTCTTGGGACGATCTTGGGGACTCCTTGGGCCGTGGTGGACGCTGTCAAGGCGAACAGGCGTGCATGTCGACGATGTACGTTTTCCACAGGAGTGAAGCGATTTTTTTCTTTTGTGGGCCCTCTCAGCGGCCTTCTGGGAGCACTCTTGGGCTGTTTGGGGGGCCTCGTAGGCCGTCTTGAAGCAATTTTGGACCGTCGCGGGTTTGCCCTGGGCCGTCTCGACGCTCTCTTGGATTGTCTCGGCGCTCATTGGTGGGGATCTCTGAAGGCTCCGAAGTGTCCTCAGGGTGGGTTGGCGAGCTCGTACACCCCCCGCCCCCCCACCCCGCCCCCCCTCCGTAATGCGATTTTTGGCCCCAGACGCTTTCTCACTCCCGGCAAGCGGGTGTCGGCGGATTCTTCATGTGGACACAGCTGGGGCTTACGCCGTCTTCTTCGAGCACAGTCCCTACGAGTTCGAGAATGGCTTCCACTATCTGAGAACGGAGGGCGGCGAGGATGTAGAACCCGCTTTTGAGGAAGAGGGCGGCAACCACTCGCACGAAGAGCATGAGGAGCACTGCCCGTGGGACCTGGAGTGGGAGTGGTCGGCTATCTTCCCTGTGGAGCAGGGTTGGTACGACTGGAACGCGGAGAAGGTCGACGGGGACTACGCCGACGCGCACATGAAGATTGTGATCATGAGTGCTACCGGGACGGACCTCCACGACCTGGAGACACAGGCCGACGCCTATTGGGATGCGATCACAGATTCCGACGAGGTGGACGTTGGGGAGACGATCCCGCTCGATGTCGGCACCACGCTGCACTTCAGCCAGGAGACGTGGGCGTCGCACTTCAAGATCTACGTGCCGGCGGGCACGTCCCACATCGCGGTGTTCGCGGAGCACTTCCCGACAGAGTTCGAAGGCGCGTACCATTACCTCCGGTCCGCCGACGGCGAGGACATCGAGCCCGTGGCCGAGGAGTCGGGCGCAGGATGCGAGAGCGCCAGCGAGAGCACCAGCACCGACGACTCAAAGATCTGGGGCGAGGTGATCCTGGCCGCGTTCGTCACCGTGCTCCCGACACTGATCGGCATCGTGCTCGTTGTGCTGACGTGCATGCCCAAACTGAAGGCCATTTTGGCTGGAGAGGGCGGCGTCGTTGCCGTCATTCACTCGTTCGCCTCGGGCGTGATCTTTGCGGCCGCCGTGTTCCTCCTGCTGCCGGAGGGTTTGTATCTTGTCACCGTTGGAAAGACAGAGGCTGGCGGCTCCGGGATGTGGGGCACCTGCGTCATGGCAGGCTGGCTCTTCGCTGTCATGGTCAAGTACTTGCTCCAGCTCGTGGTGGGAGAGAGCCCGAGCGTCACCGTGCCGGCCGCGAACGGGGAGGCAGACGGGGAGCCGCAGAAGAGCAGGGGCACTAGCTGGATCGTCTCCTTCCCCATCCTGTGCGGAGACATGTTCCACAACTTCTCGGACGGTCTGGTCCTTGGGGTCGCCTTCAAGACGTGTGGCGCGTCCTTCGGGTGGAAGATCGCGGGGATTACGGTCCTGCACGAGCTTCCGCAGGAGCTTGCGGACTTCGCCGTTCTGATCACAAAGGGGACGATGGCCTGGCCCATGGCCCTCACCCTCAACTTCATGTCTGGGCTCGCGACGGTTGTCAGGGCCTCTTCTCCCTCGTCGTTCTCCTCTCCGCTCCTTCCGCCTCCTTCCCCCTCCCTTTTTCTACCTTTCCTCCTCTCTTGCTTCCTGTTCCTCCTCCCTCTCCCCCCCCCTCCCTCCCCTCTCTTGCCTTCTTCTCGCACCATCTCCTCTTCCTCCTCCCCCCCGTCCTCTTCCCCTTTCCCCCTCCCCTTCCTATCCCCATCCTTTCCTCCCCTCTTCCTGATCTGACGCTGCAGCTCCCTTGTGCCCTCACCTTCTCCCTCCTTCGTTCCAACCGCACGAATTGGCAGGCTTGCTGTCCAGCGACGCCTTCGGGGGCTCCGATTGTTTGCGAATCAATGGGGGGCGATCAATGGGGAGGGGAAGCCTTTTCGGGCCCAGAGGGCCCCCCTGGGGGCCCTGAAGGGCCCCTCTGGGGCAGCCCTCGCTGCCCCTCATTCGTCGAATGAATGAGTGAACGGAGCCGCACCTAGACGGCGCATTGGCACTCGCACATGCACAGAACATGTCAAAAGCGCATGCGCCATGCAGGGGGAAGAGGTGTGCAGTCAACGGCAAACGTTCTGCTGGTGGGGTGGCCCGCTCTTCGGTTGCCTGCAGGCGTCACTGGCGGGGGAAGGAGCGGAGAGGAGGGGAGGGAGGGGAAGAGGGGGGAAGAGGGGACACAGGCAATCAGCTAGAAAGCGCAGTGCTGCCTGACAGCCGCATGCCATTCCGAAGGATTCTGTCGCAGACTCTGAAGAGTGTCGGGGTCGTTGCCCGCCACTGCTAAGGCCTCAGCGTACAAGTACGTCGTCCATTGTAGCCGGGGTCGTCCTCTCGCCCTCAGGGACTTCCAGTTGCGAGGCAAACAAGACGTCGGTTGAATATCTTCGAACACCATCCTTCTAGGTAAGCTTTCGGCGCTGTCCCGGGCAAGTTTTCCATACAAGGCCAATTGTCGTCCCAGTAAAATCGATGACAAAGGCGGCGCGCGGGTACGCTCACGCACATCAGCGTTGCTCATGCGGGACAACCAAGTAGGAAGAATTTCGAATACTCTGCGTAGGCATCTGGCTTGGAAACCATCAATACGACCCCTGTCCGCTTTGAGGAGCACGCAAGATTCGAGCCCATATAGCAACTTGGAGACTACGCACGACTCCAAGATCAATAGTTTCCGCGCTTTCGTCAGGTTGGCGTGGTTCCAAACAGTACATAATTTTTGGAATCTGCTTTTCGCTTCTCCCAAGCGCCGGGTAAGCTCTGCTCGCGGCTTCCCGTCTGTACTGATGAGGCCACCCAAATAAACAGCATGTTCCTTGACCGCGATTGCGTTGCCATCCGGCCCAGAAACATTACCATCAAATCGAATCCTGAGCGGCACTGTTTTGTCAGAGTTGAGTTCCAAGCCATACTTCTTCCCAACATCTACCACCAATCTAAATGCGCTTGCAGGGTGCTGGGGTCCGTGGTCACGAGCATAGTATCGTCTGCATATAGAACACCTTCAGTAATCACGTATGGCTTGGTTGGTCTGCGAGGCCGTTCCAAGTTCAAGCGTGTATCCACCGTCTCCAAAAGGATCGACATAACAGTGATGAACAAGTACGCCGAAAGCGGGCAACCTTGCGCAATGCCAGCGGATTGTGTATGAATGGATGAGCTAGTACCCCCATCTTGCACAATCAACTTGCGTATTTTGTATATGCCCCTGACCATATCGACCATCCCAGCTGGCACCCCAAACTGTTGCAATGCTTGTGCAAGACCTGTCGGACTGATCCGATCAAACGCTTTACTCCAATCCAAAAGGAGCAATACTAACTTACCGTCTTTGTCTTCAAGCGCTGCGTCAATCAACATCCTCGCCAAGAACAGTGCTTCGCTGGTCCCAAGATGCGGCCGAAAACCATATTGAGATTCACGCAATGTCTTTTCAACTCCTCCGCATTTGAGTCGCTGTAATAATATGTTGGCTAATTATCTTGTATCCCACAGCTAATGAAGATATAGGCCTGTAGCTCGAAGGCAGAGACGTGTCCCCCTTCTTGAAGATTGCCACTACAGATGCTTCCCGCCACTCTTCCGGAATGTGTTTCTTTTCCCGGCACTCGTTGCACAAATAAGGCAAGACCTCCAGCGCGTCGTTGTTGTCCAATAGTGCCTTCCATAGTTCTGGCGGCACGCCGTCGGTCCCTGCAGCTCGCTGTACTCGAAGATGCTTGACTGCTTGTCGTGTTTCTTCCAGTCGGATTCGGCCCACGTCGACAGGCAATTCTGCTCGTCTGTTTGCCGGCTGTGGTGCTGGGTGATCTTGTGGATGCGGCCGCCATTGCACCGTCGCCAAGTATGTTGCCATAGTCTTTGCCCGGTCTGCAGAATCAACCAAATGACCTTCTGCATCCCGCAGGCGCCCACATTTGTGAGGAGCATGTTTGCGTAATTGTTTGATTGTTCTCCATCTTTCTTTCCGTTTGGACGGTCTCTGTAAGCCAGCGGCGTTTGTCCGCCTTCGCGGACTGCTTGATCGCTTTGTTGACGAGCTTGGTATCGGCACCATCTTGTCGTAGCTTGTTGCGCTCCTAGATGAGGTCGAGAGTACGTTCAGATATCCATGGGCGCTGTCTCCTTGCCTCCTGGCGTGGCAGGAACTCGGCCGCAGACCGTGACATACTGAGTGATATTGCCGAAGCTGTCTCGTTTAATGACTCCTTACGTGGTTGCTTCTCCTACGCATCCACAAATAACTGCGCGCACTTCTTGATGCCGTCCGGATCCCTCAACATGCT